AGCGCAAATCCAAGATCAAGGCTGCAAATTGCAGCATGTGTACAAGTGTGTGGGAGTAGGCAATGGGACTAAGCCAACAAGTGGCTCCATTTCTTATTTTGATCCTTGTGTCAAGGAAGAAGGGTGTGGATGGTCCACTGATTCTGGGACACTGCTAAAGGCACCACCCAGAGCAAGTATCAGGGAGTAGCAGTGGAAGATGATACTGAAACAAGGGAGAAAAAAATCTGCAGTCTCTTCTTGTTTTTTTTCTTCAACCCTCACCCCTAGTCTGCTGCTTAAAAGCAGCTCTTTAGAAAATGCCCTCAAAGTACAACCGATAGGGAGAAAATTAACGTTTTCTTCAGGCAATAGTTTCTCCTTTCTGCAATCCTGTTCAATTTCTACAGGAACAAACAGCAGCTTGGGAGCTTTCTGCAGACAAAGGAAAATTTTTTTTTCAGTCTCATACAGGCCAGAAAGTTATGTCCCTGCTTTTCAGACACATACTGATAACAGAGGCTACCTTGTATGATCTATAGTTATTCTGTATCTTACATTTTAAATTTTTATTTTTCATTTTAAAACACTCCTCACAACAGAAGTTCCTTCTTCCTTTGCTAAGGAAGGGGTTCTGACACCTTTCTTGAAGGGGCATTAGTGCAACCTTGCCTGTCCTCATGCTATATGGACCTTAAATCACATCCTTACTTATCATATCCTTACCTGGCTTCCTGTTCAGACACGCAGATGCCTGAGAATGTCCATCTCACCAGCTGCTAACACAAAAGCCATCTTTTGAACTTCTTCCTAGCCCCTTCACAGAAATCAACATATTATTCCTTTCCTGCACACAACAGCCAAAGGTGGGAAGCAGTCAATCAGAAGACTGGAATCACAAAGTTGTTTTTTGAGGGCCAGGTGACAGCTTCTCCTTGTACTCTTGAAGCTTGCAGCTGGCTGAGCTGAACTGCCCTGCCTCGGTGGCACTTCTCATGCAAGCCAATGCACGCTGCTGAGGGCTGCCCACAGGACTCTGAGTGTGCATGTGTGCCTGCATGTCAAGGCATGCACCACCACAGCAAGTCCCAAAGGCTGTTCCAGTGCAAGTTCATGTGCCCACACAAAGCTGCATGTGAGCTTCTGCTGGCAGACGTGCAAAAAGCCACTACGTGTGCCTCTCTGGCTGTGAGATCCTCCAGCAAAAATCTCTGGCAAGGCATGTGGAGTCCTTTGGGGGCTGGCACATTTCTGCATGTATGTCTGTGGCAGCCGAGACATACTACAGAGCTGTTACAGAAGCCTACCTGTTCACCCTCATTTCATAAGAGCCCTAGATGAGAATACTTAAATTCCAAACATTTTCCTCTGAGTTGGTTTTACACACAGTTTTCAAGGTTACACTTGTTAATTTATTTTCTAAGTCAATGGCAAATTATGACTAAATCTAAAACAACCATTTAAACACACACAGGCCCTATTCAAGCAGGACATGGCTACTGGAGAATGTTTAAAAAGTCTAACTCTAAACTCCAGAAAGTCATGCAGAGTCAGTACAAAACAATTCTTTCTTAAAAAGGCAGAGAGATTAGTTTCTTCAATTCACTTATTAAATTAGTTCAGTTCACTCAAAGGTGGTGCAGGCAGTATAAAATGGGTGGAAGGTACCTCTCTCTTACAATCTCCAAATGAAAACAAGACAAGGAACAATGAGTAATACTCATTCTAAGATCTGCAGAGACAATTACCAAAACTAACCAGTTCATTCTGCTAAATACAGATAACACTACCCTGACAGAATCCCTATTATTTAATAGCACACTCCAGCAAGCATATTTTTTCTTATGTATCCAGCGCATGATTTGTGTGATTATACTATAAGTATAAAAAAGTGGATATTTGATTTGACCTTTTTATTCAAATGCAGTTTTGTACAATTCATGAGGAAAGAAATTCACCCAGTAATTACAACTGGCCATTTTGTAATGTAAACATTTACTGTGATATAATAGCATAAATAGATGTATGCAGATACAGTGTATCATCCTGTTTGGCAAGAAGCAGTAATAGATGAGCCTAACTGATTAGACTAAAGCTGCCTTTTAAGAAATTACCAAATGCAAAACAAACTTTAAATGAATTATTTAAATCACTAACTTTAATCATGATTTCTATCAGCAAGTGGGAAGCTTTGATTTGAACCAATCGACCTTGCTTGCTTCACAGCTGCAGGAGGACTGGTGGGCCAACACTGCCCCGCTCCCTGGAGGGAGAGGATAGGCTTCCATGCACTATTGGTTTCAAGAAATTCTGTGAGCAAATTTGCCAATATTTTTTAAATCTTAAACCAGAAAGCCTTATGTGCCAGGAGACACCTACTCTCTTGTCAGTCATGTGCTTTAGCAATCAGTCTGATACTCACCTAACACCTTATTTACATCTCAGAGAGGTTTCTATGAGTACAAAATATAACCTGACTCTGCAACATGGCTTTTAAATTGCTTCAATTCTCACATCCCACAAGATAGTTCTCCTACTTAATCCTGATAGGCACTAGTGTTGGTCTGCTCAAAACAAGCATTAGATTTCTCATTCTCTAACATTTTCTCTTCATTTCTTCACCGACTTCCCACTAAATAAACATTCTTTTTTCCCCCTCCTTAAACCTACTGGGAAGATCTGCAACACTCTGCTCTCCTCTGTGCACTACCTTAGTTAAACTTTGTCCTCCCCAAATAAGATTGTTAAGAGTTTGACAGTGCATACTCCAAAGTGATTTATAATATTACACCAAAATTATGTAAATCACTGTAAAATTTTCTTTTTGACACTCCATTAAGCAAGTAATTTTGCTTTACAGGAAATCTAGTTTTGAGATCTCCAAATATAAAAGTACAAGTTACACTAGCTTTAGGGGTGTCTCCCTTTCAGCAGGAACACAAGAAAGAAATTTGTCTGTGTTCCAAATATGGGAAAAAAAGTATTTGGTCACAGGAAGTCACAGAACAAAATTGACACAGGAATGCTAAAGGAAGCCATTGTTCCATTTCTAACTGATATATTTTTATGGTCTGACTGAACATGGACAGCCTCTTTTCATTTAACAATATTAAACACATCTCTGAAACCTGAAATAACTACAATGAAAATGCTAAGTCAAACAGTACTTGTATATTGGCAGAAGCATGATCTAATGATCAAGTTCAAGCTGTTCATAAGCAGAATGCAGGTCTTAATGCAGACCTGTACCTATCAGAAGGAAGCACTCCCCTGAATTCCCACCTAAAATTAAGTTCCTTCACACCGAGACAGTTTCCACAGCCAAGAGAATGTGAATCTGCCTTCCTGAGTTATTATGCTGTAAGGAAAACAAGTCAACACATCCTACAGAAGATCAGCAGAGAATTCTCCCACAATGAAACAAGGTATCTTTGTATAGAATCATAAAATGGTTTCGAATGGACCTAAAAAATCAGGTAGGTTCAACCCCCACAGCAATGGGCAGGAACACCTATGACAGTTCTGGAAGACTGACTTTTCTCCAAGGCTGTCAGGTGTGTGAATCTCATTACATGGTGGGGGAGGGAGAAGAGGGAGAATGACAAACAATCTGATAAGCTTTCCTATTCAACATGCAAAGACCCACACATCTGCAACAATGAGACTTTCACAGCAGCTGCTTCCAGAGCAGAAAGCAGGATCATCCTTCAATGTACCCAAGACAAAGCACATTATATTCTATACTCTTCCTTAGACAGATGGAATCACAACTTCTGAAAAACAGCAAGAGTTAAAGATTTTTAAAATCAAAACTTGAAATTTTGAAAACTATCAGTCTTGACAGCCATACAATCACAGGCCAGATCTAATTACAAGAGACATACTTCCAAGATGTGAGACCATCACCATATGAGCTAACATTCAAACAGCAAAATTCCTTCTGTTTGCCTCAGAACAAGCATGCCGAGTTGCGAGGACTAATCCAAGAGAAAGGAAAAGAGAGTCATAGCAATCAAATGCACTTTACCACAGCGGAAACACACTCTTCCTGCAGGTGTAAGACAGGGACAAGGCAGCAAACTCTTGCTCTGTATTCGTAGGGCTGCACGCCTGTCCTGCATAGCCTCCCCCTGCCTCCCCGCACAGCCAGCTGGTAAGGAAAACATGCTGACAAGGCACAGGGAGCTGCAGCAGCAGTAACTGGAAACAGCAAGCAAGAGCAACCCCAGGCACACTGCCAGGACACACTAATTCTGTGATAAAGTTTCCTGTCCATATTTTTTTAGATTAGGCAATTTATATAGACATAGATCCTGCTGTGGTACTTCTCTCTGCATCCCTTCACAACACGAGTAGCTGCAACTTTCCTCTGGCAGCTACAGAACTCCCATGCAGCTCAAAAATGACCCATTTTCTATCCTCCCTCAGGCTGGTTTAGGTTTATTTCCTCCACCTTTTGTTTTGGGGGTCTGGGAGAAAGTTGTTAAATATTTTCACCCTGGTTTTTCTCCTCCAAATGCTGGCCTTCCTGTATGAAGAAGAATGCATGGGCATATTCATGTATGAGAAAGAAGTATCACTGCAAGTGCTAGATTCCAAGAAGGGGTCACAGCAGGAAGCCACACAGCCTGTCTACCCTTACAAGCCTTACAGCAGCAGTATCTTCTGGTGAATATGCCACAGGTGCAGTGACAAAGAAGTGTACCAAGGCCAATCTCTACCTGGTCCTTGCACAATGTGTACCACATCCAATGCCCTCCTTCCACAACCCAAATGATAGAAAGGTAGAGCTCAGCAACAACTGGCTGAACTTTTCAAACAGTTTTTGTTTCTATAATTAAAATATAAGGAATGTTTTTCTATTTCAGCAAGGGGGTTATGTCTTGATTCAGACTCAATTAAAAAATCAAGCCCCATCACTCAGTAAAGGAAATAAAAAACAGGCTTTCTGTTTTCTTTTGTCTGTGCTCAGGTATAGCCCTCTCTCTGACAGCCAGGAACAGCAGATCAACTCCACATACCTTGGAACACAAAGCAGATCCGAGAGGACTCTTCCCTACAGACAAACATAACCTGCAGTCATAGCCAGAAACTGTCTGACACACAGTGATCCAAACTGTTAGTCAGAAACGTGACTCAGTGTTGGAGACTCCCTCAAAAAAAGCCTTGCAGGGAAGAGCCCAGCTGTCCCTTTAGGAAAAAGAAAAGAAGGGAAGGAATTTTCAGGAGACAGAGCATTTCTCTTTCACCAGCGATCCAAGGTTTGCTTCCAGCCCATAACGAAATCATCTCTTGACAGATCTGTGGACTTCAGCAGCATAAGCGTCAGTGAAACAGCACAATGAAGAGTAACCACTAATGTAAGCAAAGTTACCTTTTAACAGCACCATGCAAACTAACAGCCGTACAGACAAGTTTCTGTCCTAGAAAACTCGCGACCTGGGTTGACAGGATGCAACAGGTGAATGACACAGAGAACTTCAAGCTGAGCATAGTGGAAAGCTAACAAGTTACCACAAAGCAAGTAAACATCTCCTGACAGCACGTCCGGAGACAGCAGACAGAAACCCGGGCACTTCAGACGCACGACAGCAGCCACGAGAAACTGACTCCGCTCCCCAGACGCCTCGGACCCCCTTAGGAAAGGGACTCTCCGACAGCGCGACCGCTCAGTCCCCGCCGGCAGACACCGCGCATTACGGCCGGCGCTGGGCTCTGGACCCAGGCCGAGAGTGACCCCTTCCATCCCGTCCGCCGGGCCCCTCTGGGCTGAGGCCGCCAGCCCGGCCCGCACCCCGCCAGACCACGGGTGCCTCAGCGGGATGGGCCGCCGCCGTCCCCCTTCCTTCCAGCACCTTCCAGCGCCGCCGGGCCCGGCCCGGCCGGCAGCAGGACGCGGGCGGGCGGCGCTGCGCCGCCGGCTCCGGGTCGCAGGGAACGCTGCGGCGCTCGGGCCGGCGCAGGCCGCGGGGCGGGACAGCGCGTCCACGTCCCCCGCCGTGAGTCACGGCCCGGCGGGCGGCGAGAAGGAGATGCCGCCGCCCCCAAAGCCAGCGCGAAAAGTTACCGGCGCGGGCCGCGGCTCCCGGCGATGCGCGGCCGCCGCCCCCCGTGGCGCAGGTGCCCGAGGCGCGGGCGGGAGGGGCGGCCCGGCCCGGCGCTGCTCCCGGCGCTCCTGCCGGCGTTCTTCCCGGCGCCGCGGCGGAGCTGCCGTGATGTCACGCGGGCCCGGGTCACGTGCAGGCGCCGCCCGCCCCGCTCCGCCCCCGCGGGTCCCGCGGGACGCGAAGGCTCCGGGCGCGGGTGATTCCCGGACGGTGGGACCGCACGGGGGCCCGGAGCCCCTCCCGCGCCGCGCCCGCCCGCCCACCCTCAGCTCAGTCCCCAGCAGCGGAGCAAAACCAGCTGCAACAACAGAACTATCCCAAAGCAGGTGCCGCAGGAAGAGCGCGCCTTCCCCCTCCGCAGAGAACCTTTTCCTTCCAGCATTCGCCAAGAACTTCCTCAGTGGTGGGGTATCGGCAAACAGAGTAAAAAAAAAAGAACGCGGCTTCGTGCTGTCCTAGAGATAGGAAATAGAATTCAGTTTAAATTCACTAAGCATTCGAGCATGAGCAAATTAAACACGTTACTCCGTCCAGCTGAGCCTCGTGTATTGCACCAACCCTGCCCTGAAATAACCCCCCTGCTTCACAAACAATTGGCACCCTTACTGAGACCTTACACACAACTTTCTAACGCTGCAAACTACGGAAAGTTTTAAGCAAATAAACAGGTACCAAAGAGCTGGGTTATGAGCCGCTGTGCTTCATGACTCCAAGACTTCTTTGCAAACGCGAGAGCCATGTTTCCTTCTTTCCTCAAAAGAGAAAGCTGAGAACCTCATTCACCCCCCTCTATATACTTCTGCGTGCAGGCAAGCACTAAGTAGCAGTAAATTCGTTTAACTGCCAATGATTTTTCCCTCTACACGGCACCTACGAGATCCTCGACCAACGATCCAGTGGATGCACAGGCGGCAGCAGAAGCCGGGTTTCATCTCACACTCGTCTAATTCGACCAAGTTTCGTAAAGAACAACCAAAACTGGGCAAAAGCCGCCAACGCTGGGCAGCCTCTTTGCCAAGGAGCAGCAGCAGCTTTCCATTCCACACGGGCATCCTCAGGCTGACCGGAGGGATGCGACGATTAGCGACTCACGGCTGCCGGGCACTGCGCGCCAGGCCGCCTTCCCTACTTCTGCCCACGAGTTTACCCAGGAGCACACCCACAGCGTCAGAGCACTGCGAAACCTCGTGTCCTAGAGCGAAGCTGCGGCGGGGGTGACACCGCAGAGCCCTCATTCCCGCCGCTCCTACCGAGCGCCTGCGCGGCTGCAGCCCAGGGCGAAGCCTCCTCAGGGCTGACAGCAGAACTCAGCGCCGCCAGCCCGGCGAGCCCGAGGCTCAGGGGCCTGAGCGGGGCTCTCCCACCGGCGGGATCCTCCTCCTCGGGGGCGGGCGCAGCGCCGAGAGCGCGGCCGGGGCTGTGCGCTGCGAAACGCCGTCCGCGCGGGCCGGCGGCCGCTGGCGCTCGGTTCCGGGCGGTGTGCGAGCGCCATGGCGGGCGGGCGGGGCGGCGCCGTCCTGCTGCTCCTGGCGCTGTGCCTGCAGCCGCCGCCCGCCCGGGCCCGCAGCCTCCGCTTCGTGACGCTGGTGAGGGGGACGGGGGGACGCGGGGGGAGTCGGGCCGGGCCGGGCGGCGATGGCCGGGCCGGGCCGGGGTGACGCGGTGCCGCCCGCAGGTGTACCGGCACGGAGACCGCTCGCCCATCAAGGCCTTCCCGCGGGACCCGTACCAGGAGAGCGCCTGGCCCCAGGGATTCGGGCAGCTCACGCAGGTGCGGTGCGAGGCGGGGCGGGCGGCGGGGGCCGGGCCGGGGTCCGGACCGCCGGTGACGCCCGGTGCCGTTGCAGGTGGGGATGCGGCAGCAGTGGGAGCTGGGCCAGGCCCTGCGGCGGCGCTACCGCGACTTCCTCAGCGACACGTACCGGCGGCAGGAGGTCAGTGCCAGCCCCCCGGCTCGGGGAGCGGCGCTCTCGGCCGCCCCACGGTGGGCCCGGGGCGCCGCGCGGGCTGGGGCTGCGGGTGGCTCCTTTGGGAAGGGAAACGCCAGCGCCGGGACTCGTCTCCAAGTACTTTCGTTTCTTAGCCCGTTCCCACTGCAAGAGGAAGAAGGGCCCAAACGCCGGCTCTGTGCTGAGTCTGGCCGCGGTGTGGGAAGGCAAATCCAGCCAGAGTTGTGTGACTGTTCGAGCCACTCACTCTGAAGTCCAGGGAACTAAACAGCAATGTTTGTTGTAGCTGGTATTTGTTTCTTACTCGAGTTTATGAGATTTTCTTTTCCTGTTACAATAGCTCACAAGAATGCAGCCCGTGTTGGCCCTGCCCTCCCCAGTGCACTTGAGGTACAATCTTACCAGAGTAGATATTAGTAGTAGTTGTTACTGGCCAGCAATGACCCTCTCCTTTCCTTTCAACTGTAAAGTATTGACAGTTGCCCAAAGCTATTCATTCCCCTCTCTCTCATTAGGATGTCCTCACACTTTATAATAGTTCTTGAGAAACTGGTAGGTTTCTTTTGGAAAAAGTCACAGAGCCCTTGTGGAACCATGTACTAAGCACAGACGAAATTATAAAAGATTAAAAAAAGTAAGGAAATAAAAAGTCCTCCCAAGTACCTCTGCTGATAATCAACTGGTACTGAGTCAATTGAAACATGGACAGGTGTCCAGATGAGAGGCTTGTTCAGATGGACAGCAGGCAGCCAAGACCTCTTGCCCTACTACAGGCTCTGCACCACTTCAGTTATTTTATCTAAGCTCAATTAGCTGATTGTACAGATCAAACTAAGGCAAACTAAGAATCCCCATACACTTTTCCATGTTTCTCCCCTTCTAGGGCTTCCCAGTAAGAACCCAGTTTGTCACAGTTAAGATTACATCCCTTCTTTGACATTTACTTCATCAACAAAACTTCCAGCATTGTCTCAAACACAGATCCTTTAACTATCCTCACTATTTCCTTTCCAAACATACTTCACTCTTATAAACCTTCTGCAAGCTGGAACTCTTTTCCTTCTCTTGCTTGAGAAAGAAAAACAAACCAAGATGTGCAAACAAAAGCTGTTCTGCTAACCAAGCCTGAACCCTTGCTCAAGTTGAGCAACCTCCCTTGTAAGAAGTGTTGCCTCTGGGTGACACCATATGACTGTCTGTCACCTGACTCAGCGACAAGCTGGAGCCTGGCAAAAGGTGCTGAAGAAAGCATGTACACTCAGGGCTTAATTGCTTGGGGTTTTTATGATACTTCTAGAATTAGGTCCTTATCTTTTAAAATATCTCATTTCTTCAGAGCTTACCAAGGATAAAAGCAAACCTGTCTAATGAGTACAGGGTCAGTTTTTTCAAGCCACTGTTAAGAGGTAAAAGTGGGCAGACAGTTGGGTTTTTTTCTTGTGACTGTAAAGTTTCTGAGGTACACTTCACATGAGAGGTATTATACAGAGTATACATATATTTTACGATTCTGTCCTAATACTTTAAAAAATCACTATCTTTACATTATATTTCATTCTTCAGGCTTTTTGTTCTTGTTTTGGATCAAACATGCTGTTTCCTGGGACGTTTATTTATGATTTCCTGTTGGTCCTCTTATTTTATCAGTGGTTTCTCTATTTCCCCTTAACTGTTTTCAGTACACAGATACCAGAATACTAAAGTTTTGCCATGTTGACCTTCTGAACATTGCTGTATTTTTCTCATTTTTCCTTTTTTCTGGCTCAGAACTCTCTCTTCTGAGCTCTAGAATGGTCAAGTCTTGGCCCATTAATCCCAAGAGCCCACAATGATCAGATAAAATCCCAGCCCTCCCTGTTTTTGTTTACTCTCCTGTTAGTCAGATCACTTTTGTCTTTTTTTCTCAGATGGAAAAACTAAGGTTTGAAGAAGCCATTTCTTTTCCTGAGCACAGTCAGTCATTCCTAGAATTGACAGCAGAATGCAGGAGTTTGCCTCAGTCCTGCTCTGCAAATATAGCACATTTCCTATCTGTACCCATAGTTTTCTGCATCTTTGTCTTCCTCTTCTCTGAACCTTCCTCAGACTCAGATTCAGACTCCTTTCTATCTCTAACCTCTGCACGCTGCACCTGCGTGTCCCATTGATCCAGACCAGACAGCTCCAGTATTAGACAGCAGATTGTCTCTGTGTGTGTCCTTACAGCTTTGTCCAGGCCAACATCAGCAGGCTCGATCCCTTTGACTCCTGTTCCCCTGTTGTCCGTGAGCAGCTGCAGGGCACTTGGCAGTGTCCCTGGGCGAGTGCATCATCCTGTGCCTGAGCATCACCGCTTGCAGGAGCGTTAGTAATGGTGCACTGTCCCTGTCCTGGCAGATCTTCATCCGCAGCACAGACTGTGATCGGACACTGATGAGTGCAGAGGCCAATCTGGCAGGCCTCTATCCCCCAGCAGGACAAGAGATGTTCAACCCTAACATCTCCTGGCAGCCTATCCCTGTGCACACAGTCCCTGAGTCTGACGAAAGGGTAAGTTCATCTCAAAGACATGTATTGACTACTCAAGTAGTGTAGTGTCCAAAAATATTTGCTATAGTCTTGATTCAGATTGTCTTGAACTTCTCCTGGGACCTACCTTGCAGAGGTTTTCGTATTTTCAGAAGAAGATGAGAGAATTCAGGGGCTGGGTTCACTCAACATGTCAGGTGCAACACCTGAGCAGACCACACATGATCGGGAGTATGTCAACAGGCAGTACTTGAGGCTGTTTATAGATGCAGTCAGGGTTTCAGTACAGCTGTGCATGTTTACTGCAAATTCTGTACTCCAGCATTCTTGGTGACCTGGCTGCTCTTGTCTCTGCCCAGCTACTGAAGTTCCCTTTGACCCCTTGTCCACGGTATGAACAGCTACAGACTGAAACACGGCACTCAGCAGAATACATAAATAAGACCAAAGAGAATTGGGTAAGTGACTGTTTACATGAGAATAAGGTGGTTCTAGGCTTGTAGTTATCACCTCCATATAATCAGAGCTCTGAGAAAAGGGAAGGGATACCAGTGCATATAATACAGTATGAGATTAGAAAATTGAAGACCTTTCTCTTTTGTCCAACCTACAGCAATTCCTGGAGATGGTGGCAAAGGAGACTGGGATCCGGGATATCTCTCTCGAGAGTATATGGAGTGTATATGACACACTGTTCTGTGAAGTAAGTCTGGCCATCATCTTACACCCACTGGAATCTGGTCTTTAGTATTCACTGGATTTGGTGGAAATTATTTTACAAAATCCCGTGAAACAACTTTTCACCTTACAATTAGAAGTAATGTTCTAATTTCAGAATAATAACAGCTCCCACTCACTAGAGGCATGTGCCAAGAATTACCTATTTTTGCACCCTATAACCTCCCACTCTGTACCTCAGATATATATCATGCCAGAGTCAGAAAAAGCCCTACCTCTCTTGAAAGTCGCTAGAAAATGACTGCAATCTGAAATCTTTAGATTGTCTGTTGACCAGCCTAAGTCAAATACCATAGAAATGAGATCTCTGCAAACTGAAGAAACATTAAATTTATTATTTAAGTTGGGACCTTAATTAGGACTATTCCTGGTGATATCTCTACCTCTCTGTTTTTTTAAATCAATCTTAGGATAGTTAGGATAGTTAAATCAATCTTAGGATAGTTAGAACTTAGGATAGTTAATGCTATCCTAAGTTCACTCACATCTGTTTTTGACATATTTTCCTTTGTCAGAGAAAGACTCTAGAGACAGATGTTACCCTTTGCCATTTGGGATGGGGGCACCGAACTCAGTATTTGAGTTGATTTCTGTTGAAAACATATCTCAAGAAGACAAACAAAATCAGAATGGGTTAGCTGTGCTGTGGTAACGCTAAACTAAAGGTCACAAATCCAGGATACTTAAAGTTGTTACACACAAGTTTCTCAGTGTATAACTGTACAGCATGATCTTTCATGTCAAACTAGTGAATTATTGAATTATGGACACAGTAAACCAAAGCATTTTGACACTGTGTCACGCTAATTCTATGAGTGTGCAAGACTGCTTCGCTTGCTGGCAGTGGTATACAGTGGTGTGCACTATTTTGGGGGTGTAAAAGATAAATCAGCAGGGAATTGCACTTTTCTATGTAAAGTAGCAGCTTGGGTTGCTACAAGCTGAGAATATTCCAGTCCAAAGCTGCATTATCCTATGTGAATCTGCCCTTTGTATCACAAATCTCATTTCCTATCTTGTAACAATCACAGTGAATCAACATGTATTGGTAAAAAAATATCCTTTGGTCAGAGAGATCAAGAATTTCAGATCTTCTTCATTTTCAAGAGTCACTTAACGAACTTGCAGATTGGGCCTGGAAGGCCAGGTGACAACCACTATAATCCCCAAGAACTTTGAGAACAGCCCACAGTCCCAAAGCAAAACCAGAATGTTGTTAAGGAAAGAGTGTTTCTCACTCAGAACTGTACCCTCAGGCTGATTGGTCTCTTCAGCTTCTTTGGTCTTCCTCCTTTTTAGTAAGTCATGCAAAAAGTGCCTTGAAGAGGATTGTTTTTCTCACCTCTGCCAGTAGAGTCATTCTGCTATCTGGACGGAGACAATAAAAAAGACCAAGAAATAGCTGAACTTACCGGTGATTCTCTTTGTAAATTAATGAAGAACTAACTAAATATCCAAGCTGCTGATGGAATTTCTCTGAACCACTCAGACAGAATGTGCCCTTAAGGATATTCAGCCTCAACTTCCGGAAATCTAATGGGATGCGGCAAAGAAAATTGTTCTCAGTAATGCCGGGAAACCACAACTGCTGTTTCTCTGCCATTATAACTAATCCTTTCGTGTAATGGGTTGGCTGCAAAGCAAGTTCTTCTCTTGGTTCCCAGTTCTCGGGCTCCTGGGTTTGAGTACACGGCTTTGTCAGTGGTTCATCCCACTCTTCTGTCCACAGAGCACTTGCTAACTTTGTCTAGTGTCTTTCAGTGGTCCTCAGAGCCTCCAGGGAAAGAGGTGCAGCTACACCAGAAACCCTGAGTTTGTGTTCACTCACTTACCTGTTTTTTTTTCTTCGACTGCATGCCATCTGCAGGGCAGAATTACCCACATGTAAAGTTAATACCCTAAGATTATTGTAGCAATTAGAACATAACCTTGCATTCCAGCTGTGCTTTCACAGAAATGGAGCTCTTAGGTTGCAATCTTTATTCTTCTCATTACTATTTTCTGGAATAACACCAAAACCCACATATATTCTTTGTATCCAGCATAGCAGTGTGAGGTTCAAAAGCAAAATAGGAAAGGGGCATATTATATTGCATATTTAAAATAGTGTAGGAAAGTAGCAGCAGTATGGGCAGGTCTCTAGACACCCTCCCCTTCTCTGTTTAATCTGTGACCTGTGCTACCTGCACATGAATATTATTTCTCTTTCTAGCAAGCACACAAAATGGATTTGCCTGGATGGGTGACTCCAGAAGTCATGACTCACTTGAAGGAACTAAAAGACTTTGGTTTTGAATTTCTGTTTGGGATCCACAACCGGGTAGAAAAAGCTCGTCTGCAAGGCGGTGAGTGCACCAGGGAGGGAGCCTTGTGCTGCTGTTTCTGGCTTTTGCCTCTTACCAGCTGTTCTCATTCCTTAGGGGTCCTGCTGGATCACATAAGGAAAAATCTAACCAAAGCAGCAAATGCTTCTGCCCATCAGAACCTAAAACTGCTTGTCTATTCAGCGGTAAGTTAAAGCTGGGGCTGGCTTTTAGCCATCTCCTCCTGCCTGCAGGGGATTGGGGTTTGGTGATAGTTTTAACCCTTTCTAGCTTCCCTACAGCCCCCGTGCAGTGATCAGGACATGCATCTTTGCCTCTGACTGGGTGGGAGATGCAGTATTTGGCATCGTTCTTCTGGGATTCCTGAGGAAAATTCCCAATGTGTCCTTATTCCTGTTAGCTCAGGCTCATGAACAAGACTGGCAGACTTTAAGGAGACACTATTTATTTGCTAGATGGGTTGATGCTACTCAAATATGATGTTTCAGAAGTGTGGATACAGTTGTCTCCCCATTCCAGCAGCTTACTGCCTGAAAGGCCAAGCATTTCTTCCAAATTGCTCTCTAGAGATTAATTCTCAGAAAAACAGTGCATATGGCTGTTTCACTTCCTCCCCTTCTCTGGCACCATCACAGACCACTGTTCTACCAGTACAGTTCCTCTCCCATTTCCAGATGGAAGTTACAAAGGTGACGTCCCCTCTGCACTGCCTTCTCCATTACTGGTATGGTCTGAGCTGCCCTGACACATCCCTAAGGGTGACTGATTTGGTTTTTTTCCCTCTTTCTCAGCATGACACCACACTTGTGGCACTGCAGACGGCTCTAGATGTCTACAACAAGAACCAAGCACCATACGCCTCATGTCATTTATTTGAACTGTACCAAGAGGATGATGGGTGAGGGCTGCAGTAAAGACGTCTGCTGTGATTTCACCTTGAGGGTTAGACACCTAGGCTAGGCTCCACTCCTGGGGCATGCAGTCTTGCTCCTAGTGGAAGACTCATGAGGAAAACTTATCACCAGAATAAAGGAAAGGGTGTGCACACTTAGTTTATGGGAAGGGATGACTTCAACTAGAGAAAAAAAACCACCTTGCTCTATTTTGTTTTCAGTAATTTCTCCGTGGAAATGTTTTACCGGAATGAGAGTGGGAAGGAGCCCTTCCCACTGACAATCCCTGGCTGTCAGCATAAATGCCCATTGCAAAGATTCTTGGAACTCACAGATCCTGTTGTGCCCCAGGACTGGGAGCAGGAATGCAAGGTATCAAGCAGCATGCATGACACAGGTGAGCCCAGGCTTGACCAGAGTGTGGCAGAAGGGGAAAGTCTGGATGATACCATGCTGACCACTTATTTTCTCCCTTACAGAGCTCTTTGTAGGTTTGGCTGTGTGTGGATCCATTCTCCTTCTCCTCTTGATTCTCCTCTTGACTGTACTCTTTCGCATACAGTCTCAGCCCCCTGGCTACCGGCACGTCTCCAATGAAGGAGAAGAGCAGGCCTGACAGTTGCTTCAACTCCTTCCCAGGCAGTAGGAAGGAGCTGTGTTGCCCGTAAGGATGATTGGGCACCTTCAGTTACTTAGCATTCTTCTATTTTGGCCTTTACTTCCCAGAACAGAACTGGACTTGATTTCTGGATACTTTCTAAAGGTGACATCCTTTGGAAATAACTGAGAAAAAGAACTGAGCTACTCTAAGGAAATGACACCTTAACTTTGAAGCCAATATACTCTGTGGTGCTCTGGTCCTCATACAGCTCACCCAGTCTATGATTCCCAACATGGCCAGTTTCAAGTTTTCCTCCTTTCAAGTGACTGTAAACGTTACCACTCACCATGGCTGTGGCAGAGAAGCTTTGGCGTGCAGTAGCTGCCACATCCAGTTGCATTTCTCTTCAGGGTCAACCCACTTTGAGTGCTTTTCCCTCACATCATAGAGCTGCTGATGGTAGAAAGGCTGAACTTGAGCTGGGGGTACAGCTCACCAACAATGCACCAAGACTCATCTACTGTCCATGCAGAGGGAACTTCTGCAGATGATGGGAGAAATGTAAAGCGTTTCTTGAGGTTGCTGTCAAGTAGTTGCTGCTGGCAACTGGGGTTTTTTTCCCCTCTTCACATTGTGGGTCAAGAGAGGACTGTACTGAAATCAGGACAAGCCTGAAAACCTAGCAGTTTTCAGTCAGTCCTGGGATTGGGCTCAGAGTAGAATCAAGAGTAAACCCAAAAAAGCTCTCTCATGAGAGAGAGCAATTTTTGTGACCGAAGCAAACCCACACTCAATTTCTTGTGCAATGTTGCTCTAGAAAGGAAAGTCCCTCTAGATAAGAAACTTGGTTTCTGTCTAAAGATCCCAAGTTTAAATTTTACTTCCCACATCTGAACTTCAAGGACTTATTAAAGGGAGTATCCAGTACTCCAGGTAATCCAGATTTCAGCCCAAGGAATATGCTTTACTAGCACAATGTTTTTATGCTGTAATTAAGAGATGTAGCAGAGCTGTTTACCTAAGACTAGATTAAATGCCAAGTTCTATAGTTTTTCTTCCTATCTTCCCTACTGGATGGACAACAAACATTAAGGATCAGAATTGGCAGGCCAGTATGGATTCCTTTATTTGACACACTTGGGCATTTTGTCCAAAGTGTGATTCTTTCTCCAGCCTGGCCTCTCTGCACACTGCAGCTGCTGCAGAGACCTTCACACCAAGTGCTCACTACCTGCCTTGTAGTTTTTGGCAGAAAATGAGACTGCAGCAGGCACCAGAAGCACAGGCTCTTCACGTGGTGAAACTGCACATTCACTTCCTACTTTTACTTCCCTTTCTGGTGCAGTTCCCTTCCCCTCTTGGATGCAGAAGCCAGTTCTTAGGTTACAAACATTTCCTTTTGTTCCCCCTAAGGAGTACCATGGGGACTTTTCTCCACACCGTAATCAGCATCTGGCAGCATGGGAACCCTAAATCAGCAGAAGCAGCTTGCTGTTCTCAGCATCTTCCTCACCTTTTTGTCCTCTGAAGATACAGACTAGGTCTCCTGCACAGCAAGACAGTCATAAAGAAAAAGCTACTGCCTGTGAGAACAGGCACAAGAAAGAGGTAATAGAAAGTGCATTTAAAAGGACCAGACCTGTTATTTTTAAAGGCACCAAATTTTGCACACACACAGAAAAGATTTTTATGATGATTTAGACATTTTGACTGTGAATGACTTTCTGTACTTGTTCCAATACATTTCATTATTAAAATCAATTTCTCAGTGAACTCTTCTCCTCTTCTCTAGGAGTTTACAGGGTTAGCACCACTGTGCTCAGTGTTGGAAAGCAGACAGAATTTACTGCAGCATACCCCCCCTAAAGGAATTCCCTGTTTCACAATCCCACACATCACACAGGGAGATTTGACATAAACTGGTTTTGACTGCAGCAGCTATTCAGGGATACAGCTTATGATGCATCCTGTCCTACTTGGAGGGGTCTGTTGCAGACCCACTACTATGTCTCATAGCCCTCCTGTATAAAGGTTTCAAATTTCTCCCCTATGAAAGCAGTTCAGCAGTATCCTCAAAGCAGCCACTCTATCAAAGAATTTTAGTTTAGTACAAAATTTTATTGATATTAATATTGCAAAACTATAAACGTGAATGTGAAGAATCTGCACAGGCCTGGAGCCCATCCCATCCCATCAACCTCTGGGACAGCAGCAGCCTTGTAAACAAAGTAGAAAAAGCAAAACTTAACCCTTTAACAACAGTCTTGAGATTTGGCTCTGAGCAGGGGTATTTGGAAGAAATCCCTCATTTGTTTTATAACACTCTTACCAAACATTCTGAAGCACATAGGCATAGGTGAAAAAAAATGCCTAATCATTGGCAAGAAACAGCCTAGAACTCTGAAAATAGAAACTACAGAATCAGTAGGTGCCCAGCTCCATACTGTCCTTGCAATCAATGATAGAGACCTCTGGAATCCCGTTCTTTGTGGTTCAGCTGCAAGCAGAGAACAGGCTAAGCCTGATGTTTGATGTTTTGACCAACACATTTTCCAAGCTTGCGTATGGGAAAGCTTGGTGTTTCCTAGGATACCCAAGCTATCCACAAATTCACCCCTGTGAACATTCTATCTTTTCAGGGTGTTAATCCTGTTAGCAAATGGTTTCTCAGCTTGGTTGGACTAGAACAAGCTGGGGACCCTGTCATGAGCTGCTCCACTGCAGACTACAGGAAATGGGAACCTGTGACAAGTGATGACAAACAGATACGGTAGGCTGAAAGCAGTAACTTCAGCAAGATCTGGGAACGTCTTTGAAGTTCTCCTAGTGCCTCAGAAAACGAGCAGTAACTCCACTTGGAGGAACCAAGTACTGACATAACTTTCTAGAAAGAGAGGCCAAGAGGATCACAGAAGCAACATCCGATCTGGGGAGGAAGGACAAAGTCTAATTCCACAGCTTAATACTCCCATTGCCAACAATTTGTATGCTGGGATTCAGAAAGGATCAAAATACTAAAGCAGTTCTCTAGATCCGGTCTCTTTTTACTTCCTTCCCTGTGGTTTAGAATCACTGCTTTTTGTTTTCATCTCCTGCAGCTCCCCAGACATTAACTTAGCTTTTGAGTTTGCTTGTGCCAGGGTTTGCCTGTCCCTGCCCTCCACATCTGGATGAACTCCAGCTTCCAATCCCCTGTTCTCTCATGGTTCAATCTCCTCGTTTGTCATGGCTTTCAAGAGATGTTCATGCTTCTTGGCTGCCATCTCCTCCTGGTTCCAGATCAGAATATTAAAGCCTGAGAAGAAAAATTAAATACTGTATATCAGAAACTCTGCATCAATCATAATACCTTAGGCTATGTCACTTAAATCCCAGAAATTCAAAAATATTTTTTCTAAGGTATTTCCAAAGTATAGAGGATGTAAAAATAGTTATTGCAGATGCTGTGTCCACATAGCCATGGAAATCTGATCTAACTAAGAAATATACGTAATTCCTAGGGTCATCTGTCACAGGTCTAAGACCTAAATCTATAGCCAGCTAACTTAATCCCACACAGCCTGTGAAAAGCTGACTAAACTTGGCTCTGCAGCCTAGGAAATGAGATAAATTAAACAAAGGGAAATGGTACAGCCTAGCAGGAAAAGGCTTTTCCCCCTCCATTGTTTTCTTCTACTGCTTCATGGATGGCATGGAATAACAAGCCAGCCCTTTCCTGGGACTACAACCCACACATTTAGTGCCCCAGGTTCTCTTCACTTACCCATGCCAGAAGCCAGTGTGTCTCCCATAGGGTTAAATTTATTGAGCTGAAAATGAAAACAGAGTCTGTAAGAGCATCACTGCTTATGTAACAGTCATAAGAGCACCACAGCTTATATAACAGCAACAAACCATCTGGAAAAAAGTGTTTCCTAAGAGTATCACAAAAGCCCCACAAAGGACCATGGGCTAGCCCTGCTTGAGTCAGCAGTTTTAGCTGGCAGCCATATCCCATGGCAGCATGAGTCTGTCACAAGTAAACTGGATACTGTTCTAGTCCCTAAGCCATGCCTCTTTCCCACAGACAGAGCAGTGTTACTGACAGCCCTTTCAGCTGCAGCGCTCAGCTCACCGAGATGATCCCAGAAGCATTTGGATCGTAGAGCTGACAAACCATCTCGCCCGTGTTTCCATCGAACACATCCACGGTGCGCAGCTCGTTCAGCGTGTACCCGGGGAACTTGGGGTCTGGGTAGCGACCTACCACTATGAGGTCATAGCGAGGATGCCACGTCGCCTGATCAGGAAACAGAGTCATGGAGAGCTTAGGGAAAGGAACAGAGCTCAGCACTGACACAATCCGGACAACTGACACTGGGAGCAACTCTTATTATATCCCACCCACAGCTTGAGGAACACTGCTCCACTGGGAGTTGCAGCAGTGTAAATATCCACCCACCAGTGTAGTATCCTGACCAGAAATCAGACCATTTTTGATTTGCAGATGGCTGCTAGCACCAAGCATGATGCTCCTCTTAGACTTAACTCACCTTAATAGGTGTGAGGTGCTGAAACTGCCGATGTGGATGTGGAATCAGATGCTGTGGCTTGGTCCAGTCTGAAGATGAGTAAACCCTGATTTCATTGTGCTGGTCTGTGCTCAGAAGCTTGGCACCATGTGTTGGGCTGAAGTAAGCTAGGAAAGTGGGACAATAAGGCAAACTAAAGATCACAGTGCTGTGACTGACAAGAAATGTGTCACATTTCACTGACTGAAAATCCATCACTATTTCTTTAATTGATATGTGAATATGGCTGTGTGTCCCAATAGGTAAGACTCTTGACAGGACAGACTACCTGTGTCAAACTCAAAACTCTTACAAAAAGAAAGCTGACACCTACCATGCTGGGTTACCTAAGAAGAAATTTTTTCTCATTTCAGATTCACAGGAGGAAACATTGCAAAGAAAGGAACTTTCTCATTCAAGTGGAAAGACAGTGGAATAATGAGATGAATACCTGCAGTTTGGACTTCCATCAACTGGTGAAGTTGCATCCAAGAAACAGAGGTTTGAGTTCCATTCTCTGCTCTTGTTAAAGGGATTGCCCCAATAAATTCAGTTTTCTAATCTCAGCCACTGCTCCTTTCAAACTCACTTCTAAGGTACAGTGTCACAGTTTGTATGGCAAGTCTAAACAAGGTGCTGCAGCTGCCCTAGCCACCTCCTTGCCTCTGGCCACACATTCCCAACAGCTTCCTTGCTTTAATTACCATGCAACTTGGAATCTGAGTAAAACCTAATACTGCCACCACAATAAAAGCTGAGCCGAGTGGACTCTCTGCAGAAATCCAGTGCAATGGAACATGCAATGAAATCCTTAACTCACCTGCATTGACAGGTTTCTCATGTGGAAGCAGATGAAGAAAGTTTGTTTTGTTTTTGATGCTTCTGAGGTCCCAGATTTTGACTGTCTGATCCACAGATGCTGTGGCAAACATCCACTCACATCGGGAGTTAAACTCTACATGAGTCACTTTCTTCTTGTGCAATTTCAGCTTCCAGACCTGCAGCAAACAGAAAATCATATAGAACAAAATAATCAAGATCTGGAGTAAAGAAATGAAATTATAATCTACTAGTGCCAAGTAAAGAGGTCTCACATTTATAGAGTAACAAATCTTCTACAATTCACCAAGAGTGTATTCACTGCAAACAAGAAAGGAAAAAAAATGACCTTGGGAAATAACTATTTCATTCTAGAAAAACTTTGATCTGACAATTTATTACAGCTATGAGAAAAGAAAACACAAGCCCAGGCCTTCATGGAGGGAAATATTAGTGTCACTGTACAAAGCAAGATCACATCTGGAAGACCTTAAGCAGTGCCAGCCTTTCACTTGCAGAAAGATTTAAACACACTAGAACATGTAGAGAAAATCTGCTGCCAAGATAACAAGATGGAAGGAACTGCTTTGTGTGGAAAAGCAAAAAAATCTTCATTTAAGTAAAAAAAAGTGAGAGAAGATATAATTGGCTTCTAGAAACATGTCACCAAAGAAACATGAGGGTAGGACAAATATTTCAATTAACAACAACAACTAAACACAAAGTGGCCATGAATAAATTTCTATACAAAGCCAGAAGGTTATCTCTCATCTAAGGGCTGAAGCTGGCCTATCCTCTCTAGAATAATCTCCCTACTGCAGAAAAGACTGTCACATTCTTTCAGGGGGAAAAAAAAGTAAGTCAGCAACTAACACTGAATACGGACAAGTCACCTGGAGCACTCCTGACTCTGCCCACTGTTTTGCACAGCTGCCTCTAGCCACAGATCATTGGGTGGCAAACTTTTACAGACATTACCCTTACACGCAGCAGAGAGGGCAGTGCCAGTGTGACAGTACAGCAGGAACTCGAAGCAGGGCCCACTCCAAGTACTCTCTCCTCTTTGACCACATTCCAGACTCACAGTCTGCACCTCTGCCTGCCCTCTCGTGTCCAACGGCAGGAGTGCAATTTCCATCCCAACATTCACTGCATTACTGCTCCGTGCCTACCCTCAGGTCATGGAAGGGTGCACAGCAAAGCAGTACCTCCTAAATTACCCCATCAGGGCACTAAGTTTCTGGAAGTGTGAAGGTTGTTGGTAGAGGGTGCTCACATCTTCAGGTTACCCTATAATTACTCTGGCTAGTAGCAAATACTCTTAAGGAAGGGGCAGTACATGACAGGTAATAATTCCTTGTTTAGAAATTATTACCATTTTACTCAACAATGTAAAATGTCTAC